ACACCGCACAATCTGGGCTCTTTTACCAGGGCTGCAGGCCTGGTTGAAATATTCAGGAGTCAATGAATTTTACCTGTCAGCTTTAGAGAAGTGCCCAAAGAGTCCTTCATTTTGGTATAAACGGCCATTAAATGAAATGTTGAATTCTTGAAGAATTTTGAAAATGGAAAATCTTGAAAATGACCCGGCATCTTGTCTTGCTCAAGAAAAATCCACCCGGCAGCAAGTGGTTAAAGGTATTTCGGCTCATGGCTACATAATCCCTTTTAAGATCTTTCCACCACAGGCTCATTTAAATAACAACAGATCAAGTCTGAATCATCCTGAATTTGTGGCCGAAGCAATATCTAAATTATTAGCCACAGGTAGTATAAACGAGCATGTCTCACCTCTGCACGTTGTCAATCCATTGACTGTTGCAGAAGGCAAAAAGCTCAGATTAGTTTTGGATCTGTGGCATATTAACCAATTTACTTTTTTGTGTCCAAAGTCAAATACGAAGGTCTCGATATCTTAGCACAAATGTTTTCCACAGGATTGTATTTGTTCACCTTTGATTTAGAGTCTGGTTACCACCACATTGACATTTTTTAACCTCATCAAAAGTATTTAGGTTTCAGTTGGAAATTCGCTACCAAAGTGCGTTATTTTACATTCACTGTACTCCCCTTCGGTTTGAATGCTGTGAGTCATTGCTTCACAAAAATGTTAAGACCCCTTGTAGCAAGATGGTGACCTATGGGGCATTGTTCAATTTTATACATTGATGATGGCATCTTGGGCTATGCCAACGAGATTTCTGCACTTGCAGCAAGCCGTATTGTTCAGAGGGACCTCGCCTGTGCAGGTCTGAAAGTTAACAAATCAAAAAGCGATTTTGTACCGAAACAGTCGGGTATGAGGCTAGGCATGTTAATTGATACTGTTTCTATGCAGTTTAGCCTGCCTGACAACAAACTGGTTAAGGCGCAGAATGCCATTTCTGCGTGTTTTGCGAATCGTACACAGTATGTTCCAGTGTGACTCATTGCATGCGTTGCTGGTTTCATTATCTCTGCTTCATTAGCTGTAGGTCGATTATCCAGGTTGTTCACCAGGCATTTGTACAAAAACATAGAATCACGTCAATCTTGTTCAAGCCAGGTTTTCTTATCTGCAGGTTCCTTAGCTGAATTAGAATTCTGGCACAGGAATTTCTAGGCTGTAAACGGCCATCGCATCAGGTCGATATCTCTTGCCACTTTGGCTGTATATTCTGATGCAAGTGAAAGAGGATTTGGGGGTTATTATTCTATTCAGCTTAACGATTTAGGCCTCACGTGTTCAGGCCTATGGTCAGAATCAGAGCCCAACGAAAGTTCAAGTCGCGAACTTAGAGCGGTTTTATACCTTTTGCGTTCATTAGGCCCCAAATTGACGGGCAAAAAATTAAAATGGTATACAGATAGCCAAAACACTTGTCGTATATCAGTCGGGAGTACAAAGCCCAATTTGCATGACTTGAGTATCTGATTGTACAATTGTTGTATGACATTTCAGGTATGAAGTGAACCAGAATGGTTAAAATACGACCTGAATAAACGTGCATATGAATTAAGTTGGATTACTGATCCGGACGATTGGTCATTAAACAGGAATGTGTTTTTGATGTTGGATGACCGCTTTGGTCTTCACAAGGTGGATCGATTTGCATCATTTTATAACACCCAGCTACCCTCATTCAATTCCAGGTACTGGAATCCTGGGTGTACAGCTGCTGATTGTTTTTCCCAAGATTGGGTATCAGAAAACAATTGGGCTTGCCTGCCTGTCAGGTTTTGCATACCGTAAAACACATGAAGAAATGCAAAGCTAGTGGTTCTGTGATAGTACCTGAATGGCCATCTGCGGCGTTCTGGCCCATATTGTCACCTACAATGGGTACACAGTGAAAAGGCTCATTGTTCAGTGGCATGCGGCTCTACTCACACTTCCACATTCCCGTTGCCTCTTTTCAAAGTGGGGATTATTGTGAAGCTGGTGATTATGATGCAAATTCGGTCTTTTCATTTCTGGGCTACACATGAAGGCCAATCACCATATATACAAGAGCCAGGATCTGCCTTCTTTCACCGTGTTCGCTCGAGCATGGGCCAAGAATAATAGCTGAAAAGCGGGCTGAGGATCTCAATTTTTGCAGCGGCTCTATCCGCGTCCCGGCGCGAAGGGATTAAACAGGTTGTTAAGACGATATTTGCAAAGAAGATGCTTATATTGCTTTATGTTACTGAACTTGATATCGTATCGTATTCTCAGGCATCTTCTATTTAATATTTCAGAAGTCTTTGACTATCAGATTTGGAGCGAGTTTGCATCTGATATCAACATTTGTAGCAACGAATATCTGTCTGGGTTGGTCACATCGCTACAGGGTACCGTTTTGGCTTCAAAAGCTAGCTCCACTACAAGCAAATACCTTGGAGGATGGAAGCGCTGGAAAACTTTTGCCTGTCAGCATAAATTTCAGATTTTTCCGTCAAGCATACAGAGCTGGTGTTATACATTGAGCTTTTATTAGGATCAGCCCGTTCCATTTCTCCAGTCGATGAAGCGATTTATAGTATCCGATGGGCACACGATCTGGCAGCTATTTCTTCCACTACTGGGGACAGTTTCGTGAAAGCAGTAGTGGAGGGTTGTCGTCCAAAGTTAACCAGGCCGAAATCCCCCAAAGAGCCGATTTCACCTGAAGTTCTGGCAAAATTGGTTGCAGACAAGGGAGCCCAGGACACTTCTCTCTGTGACACACGTTTGATTTTGTGCGCCTAGTATCCTTTTCCGGAATGCTGAGGTACAAGGAAGTGATTTCCTTGCGTGTCCAGGACATTGTGTTTTTGATGACCTTATGACTGTTCAGGTGCCTAAGGCGGCTTTGCAAAAAGGTTGAACCATGGTTAGACTGAGGTCACCGCGGTTTGTCCAATCCCTAGTTACAAGTCGACGACCGCGGTGTCCCGCTCACTTTACATATCAGTGCAACTGACTAACAAATCCCCTATTGTTATTGAAATACGTGCGGACAGCGGTGATCGCGGTCGGCTCCACAGAGGAATTAGCGACTGACTGCGGCCACTGCGTTGACATTCCAAAGCTGTCTAGGTATTTTTCAGGAAGCCGCCGTACCGACTCCAATATTTCTCGGGCATTTTTAAGGTAGAAAAAACGTGCACATTGCATGTCACTCTTTTGCTCCCAAGAACATACTTTTACTCTGGCCGTGTTGTTTGTGTTTTGTGATGTTGGTTTGTAGTTCTGGGAAATGATTCCTGTAATGTACATGTATACGTAAAGTAGTATTTTTGGTTGAGACCTGTGAGTGATCAAAAAATACAAAATGCCAACAAAATTTTGATAACATTAACAATCTCATGTTGTGAATAAACTGAAGCTTTAAATTTCAAGTTTCCTGCAGAAAAAAAAAATGCATTTGATAATTTGTGATTAGGGTAAATACCTGAATGTGCCATGTTGATGACTCGACTTGCATTTTTTAGTTATTCTTTTTTGGGGGGGCAATATGAGACACGACTTGGCTTGAAAAATTACTTGCGACGAAAAAGAAATTGACTCGCGACTCGACTTGAATTTGACATGTATGATGTTGACTTCAACACTTTTATAGTGAACACAACCTTATTGTACATGTACGTTCAACTAAAAGTAAAGGGCTGGATTATCAGCATGCACATGTACGTATCGAGCCAGACGTCCTGCTAGAATTACACGATGCAGAAAGTATTCACGCTCTAAATCTGCAAAGAAATTGAACACATTGCAACCCTGGTGAATTTCGTTGTGAGTTTTTAATGATGTCAACTTTATTTAGAATTTGCATTTTTGTGAAGTGAAAACGGGCATCAACGTTAGCATGTTGCCAAACGTTTTTATCCCTACTAAAATCATCATTCAAAATAAAGTCGCGTTCACATAATTTCATCAGAGATTTATGAAAGGGAGTAGATCTGCGAGCGTTGTAGTCTGTACTACTGGCCAAGGGTAGTTAAGAAGCTTTTTTTTTTCCGGTGCCATGATTACATACACATTTCAAATGCTAAGGTTCCTCCCATTTTCCCCTAAATCCAATTGTTGTCCGTATAAAATATATTTATTTTTTTCCAACAGCGGATCCATAGTCCAACTTAAAAAAAGGGGGAAAAAAAATGGCTTTCGGCGTTCTGTGGAAGCAGCTTGACTAAGAAATTTTTAAGGAATATTTCAGGTATGTTGAACCGAAATCGGAAAGGGAGGCAACGGCCCATTCATGCAGTAGCCGTGTATACATTCAATAGTACTCGATCACCTTCAGGGGGTTAGACAGGTTTTTTAGAGTCTCAGAGGTTTTTGACCTCTGTTTTTCAAGGTCGACAAACAAAATGCTTTTTCATATTAATTGTCAATTTTTCAAAGGTGATTGCACGGATTAACATATTTTAGGCTTTAAGTAACCTATACGAAGAGTGCATGTATTGTGGAAACCAATTATTAGCGTGATGAAAAGGCATATCTAATGTTCAATTTGTAATATAGTCTGAATGGGATCGAAAATGAAACTTTTAATATGGAAGTTTACCTCCTCACGTTTGGCGGATGGTAACAAATACAAGAATCATTACAGATTTTGTTAGTTTGAAAGATGAATTGAATGAATGTCTTATAACCGTATATTCACACAGCCAGGTGCACATTATGGTCAAGCCGGAAGAGCAGGATTGTATTTTGAAGCTATGAGTTCGGACGTGTGTCAGTAAACAAGCAAGAATAAAACATGGAAAATAGAATACGCACTTGTATTTTTATTCTGCAAGCCTCTTGCAGGAACGGCTATGGTTTGTTACCGGGCCTGAGATGAGATGGTGTTAACCTAGCATAAGCTGCTTCTGTCAGAGCAACAGTCAGATGACATACAATGTCTGGGCATTTTTCAGGATTTTTGCAGGTAGGGTTGAGATACACATACATACCTGCTGTGCCTTGGTGCCATCATTTAGAAGTGCAGCTGCCTCTTTGGCTTGCTGCTCCACCTGTGCCAATAAGTCCTGGTTAGTAGCCTTCACTTCATCTGCTTTGTCTTTGATCATTTGGGCCTGGAAAGCAAATATTTGTAATATTTTCAGTCTAGTCAGAAGCAATTCCCATGAAATTTGTGATTGGCTCTTAAAAAAATGGAAAATAAGTTGCCAGATTCAGGTTATGATTTTTGATATGGCAGGATTCTGCACATCAAAAGCAACAATTTGATATATGAATGACCTGTGTAGTGTGCTACATTCCAGAGATATATAAACATTTGTATATCCACATTTTCCGATTAAATAAAAGCACTTTTTGAGAAAAAGCTCTTGAATTGTCACGCTTGGAAATACAATGCTATGTAGGGTTTTCTACTGAATGATCAATTTTTCATCTTTATTTATCAGTACCCATTTGTAGTCACAAATTCTAAAAGTATAGAAAGTATAAAAGGAAAAAAACATTTTTGAAGAAACTTTGCCTTCAAATAGAACAGGCCATTACGTGTTTTGGCACTGAGTGATTTATTACCCTTTTTTGCAGAGTGGGTCACTCTGCTGGATTA